TTCCCCCCCCCCCCCCCCCCCCCCCCCCCCTCCCCCCCCCGCTCCCTTAGGGATCCATCTCCAACTTGACAGCAAACGCAAAATGTCTGGCTTGCACTGGTGGCAAAATCTCCTCGCCTGATGGAGCGTCTTGTCAAGGTCAGTTGCTGCAAATGTTCACCTCCCCACACATCGCTGGTTCATCCTGTGCGGGTCAATGTGTGTGTGTGTGTGTGTTTTTTTTTTGGCGACGCATCAGAGCCCTTTGTTGTCCTCCGTTGTCAGCATGTGCACATGACTCTTCGTCTCTGCTTCTGCCTTCCTCTTTCATGTGTTTCTGCCAACCTTTCCACAGAGTGTCAAGCAGGCTCGTACACGCATAACAACATCAACTGCATCAGTACGTTTGTGCATGAAGGCCACGCGCTCTTCAAAAGTAGCGTAGTGGTGCTAGTGTTGATGGGCTGAGGGTGACTGTGATGGCATGTCGGAGAGAGCAAGGAGCAAACACGCAAGCCAGGGAATTAATCAAGTCAAATGCATCGAGCTCGCTTCGGGCCCTCTTGATTGGTTTCATATTGTCATTCTGGATTGACCTGGTAGACTGCCAATCTGGCTATTTTTCCTCCGCTGGCGCTACATCGTGCACTCCCTGTCCCAAGGTCTGAAAGTTGCCTGACCTTGCATCAGTCTGTGCATGCTGCGAATGCTAATTAAACTGTTTTGCGTGCCCCCTCCCCCTCCCCCTCCATCCACCAGGGCACCAAAGGCGTAGGCAATAACTGTGTGCCATGTCCTTTGGGGGAGTACCAGTCAGCTGTGGGCCAATCCTGGTGCTCGAGTACGTCGACTGCCATGCTGTGTGTGTGTGTGTGTGTGTGTGTGTGTGTGTATATAAAAGTATGTTGTACAACGAGGCGTTTGAGAGTTGTACTGTAATTGTTCGACTTGCGCATGCTTATACGCTTCGGACCATTTTCAATGGGGCTGAGTAGCCGTGCAAGGTGGCTACTACGTTCTTGCCGAGGTGGGCCAAACAGAAATGCTGTACTGTCCCCGAGGTACCTACTCGACGCAAGGCAGTGTGGGTAGCTGCACAGCATGCCCCATCGGCAAGGCTAGCGCCAGCTTGGGTATCACCTACGACTGCAATGTGAGTGGCAGCACGACCTGCTTCTACAAAAGCACCCAAGCGCCCCTCATCCGGTCATACTTGTGGTCTAGGCTTGTTACAATGGCAAGGTGGCCCCCTCTCCTGGCACAGTGAATTGTCGCGACCCCTCGACCTGCACCGCCGGCAAGTTTGTGGAAACTAGCTTTACGGCTTCGACTGACCGCGTGTGCCGCGATTGCCCTGCGGGTACCTACAGCACAGTGGAAAATGCCGAGTCTTGCAGAGTACGTTTCAGGCTCTCGCACCCACTCAAGCATCCAGCTGTGTGCTTGCCCTTAGCCGGCAGGACTACATCCTTGGCTGCACTTACATGTCGACCATTTTCGTTGCATCGAACTTGTATTTCAATCTGTCTGTGGCCGGCTTAGGTTTGCGCCGCCGGGTACACCTCCGTGGCTGGGTCCACATCATGTGTGGAAGATTCTGACGCCACTTGCCCCCCAGGGACCTTGAAAACCGGGCATCTGTGCGAGGCATGCGAAGCCGGTAAGTGCGACCGTTCATTCAACTTGCCGGTCATCTCAGGCCCAGCACACTGTCCGAGCTCTCACGTCCATATGCTGGTGGACTTGACACCCTTGGATTCTTCAGGCAAGTACAGTTCTACAACGAACGCAGCAACATGCTCAGCCCACAGCGCAGCCTGCTCTGCCGGATCCTACGAGACTGTGGCACCGACATCATCATCCGACCGCACATGCCAAACATGTGCCAAGGGTTATTATCAGGATTCGACAGGCCAGAGCGAGTGCAAGGCTTGCCCGGCAGGGACGATGCGTGACGCGACTGGGGGCACAAGCAGCACACAGTGCCTGGCTTGTCCTGTGGGTACTGAAGCACCATTGGCCGGCAGCGCCACCTGCTCTCCGTGCAGTACTGGTCGCTATCAAAACCAAACGAGCCAAGCCACTTGTCTAAGTTGTCCAGAGGGTACCTATCAGAACGTTATGGGTGCCACCTCGTGCAGACCCTGCAATAACGGACAGTACCAAGATGGAACCGTTTCGGCCAATTGCAAGAAATGTGCCGTTGGCAGTTACACTCCCAATGATGGCCAAGCGTACGCCTCTTGTCTCATTTGCGCCGCTGGTAGCTACCAAGCACAGCTTGGCCAAACATCTTGCACCACATGTGCTGACGGCACCACATCGAACAATGATCGAACTTTGTGCGTGCAGTGCCCGGCTGGCACTGCTGGAACGGGAGGGTCATGCACCGCATGCAGCGACGCCAGTGCCCAGCCACAGCCCGGTTCCACTGCCTGCGTACTCTGCCCCAACGGCACCAAGGCTAGCTTTGACAAGACCAACTGCGTTGACTGTGGTAAAGGACACTATGGCTACAACGGCCAGTGCTTCAGCTGCCCTGAGGGCACCTACAGTGATGTCATTGATGCAAGCAGTTGCAAGGATCCAGGCCCCGGTTACTACGTGGGCACTGGCGTGGGCCAGGCACAGCGCTATAGTTGCTCGCCAGGCTTTTACGCCGCGAAACCACGTACCATCGGCGCGTGTGCACGCTGTGTGCCCGGCACCTTTTGTGGTACCGAGCGCTGTGCATCGTGCAGCATGTGCAGTATCGGCTATTTTGCGGAAATTTCGGGTGCGACGCAATGTACTCGCGTTACCACCTGCACCGCCGGCACTTTTGTAGCGGCCACACCGACTTCGTCGACGGATCGCACCTGTGAGGCTTGTGCAGCGGGCACCTATAGCGCGACGGCCGATGCCGCATCGTGCACAACTTGCCCAGAGGGCAAGTCCTCGAATGAAGGAGCGCTGACCTGCTTTGTCAACACGTCGTCTTGTGAAGCTGGCACGTATATTAGCGACGGGGCCTGTGCTGCTTGCCCCGCCGGTAAGTTCTCGGCCAGCCGTGGCCAGGAGAGCTGTCAAGACCTTGCCACTTGCCCCACAGGCTACGAGGTAGCCACTCAACCGACGTCCTCAACGGATCGCGTGTGCCGACGCTGCGAAGCTGGATATGTGGCTTCCTCCATCAACCAACTCGCGTGCACACCGTGCAACTCGACGTCTTTTGCTGAAGTGGCCGGTTTGAGTTCGTGTGCTCCGCATCGAATCTGTGCCCCCGGTAGCTTTGTACAAGGCCAACCATCCATCAGCAATGACCGTAGCTGTGTGGCCTGTCCCGGGGATGCCTTCTCAACGACCAACAATGCCGCGCAGTGCACTCCGCATACCACCTGTGCTGCTGGCTCCTATGTGACTGTCTACCCGACGGTGACTTCGAATCGCGAATGCCAGAGCTGTAGTCTGGGTGCTACCTTCAGCTCCGCCATTAACGCTGCGCAATGCCAACCGGTGACCGTTTGCAGCGTCGGTGAGGAGGAGTACACGGCCCCCACTCTCATCTCAAACCGCGTGTGCGAGGTATGCTTGCTTGCTTGCTTATTAGCTCCGCTACACGTTGCGAAGTGTGGCAGGCATCAAGGGCTGGCCCAAGCATACCGTGTGGTGATCGCTGCGATTCGATGCCGCCTCATCTCCTCATGGTGACGTATGGTTGTACTTTAGGCTTGCAGGCAAGGATACTATCGCGACGCGACGCTGACGTCGTGTGCGCCCCACACGACATGCACGGCCGGCACCTACGAGGCCGTTGCTCCAACCGTAGCATCAGATCGCAAGTGCGAGGCTTGCCCGAGTGGCAAGTATCAGCCTTCCGCTTACGCCACGTCATGTCTCTCTGCCACGGACTGTGGCACAGAGCTGGCCGTCAAGGCACCAACCCCAACCACGGATCGCGTCTGCGTTGATTTGGTCACGTGTGTGGCTGGCAGCGATTCTGAGACCGGCAGTAGCTGTTCGTGCACGGATAGCGCTTGTGCCCGTTGCGTCAGCCAGCCAGCCTATGATGGAATTCTGTACCTTCGTGCTGATGGCGAGCCGCGAACCATGACTGGCATTCCAACCTCGACCGGAGCAGCGTGCTATGCACCCACTGTCGCTTATCAATCTGACCAGGAGGTCATCTACGACTGCCGAGATCGCTGCAGTGCGGATGCCTCCTGCGTAGCCTTTACCATTTATAGTGTTGCTGCTTCATCAGACATTGCGGGCCAGTGTTGCCTCAAATCAGCGTACGTTTCCAGGGCTGCAAGGTGTCTCGGCCCCCCCTCTCCTTTGTTTTTCTCTCTTCTTCTCCATTTCCTTTCCTGGCACCAAGTGTTGTCTCACTGTATCATCCTGGACGGTGTCTGTTTTTCTTCCCTCCTTCCAGATTCTCCACCACGGTCTATCGCAACTTGCCTAGCGCCCACTTTTTCCAAATGCAAACTTGCGAAGCATGTGCGGTCAACTACGTGCAAGACTCATTGCAATGCGTTCCGGCCGTTACCCCGCCACAGTTCTACAACACAATTGCCTCTCGCACCGTTTCCACCACCCTGGCCCAGGGTACAATCATTCTTAATGCCTCTGCTTATCCTGACCAGTCGAATCTCAGCGTGACCTACCACATCGCCGAGTCCTCGGGCGGTGCGGCCAGCTATGTGACTGTTGACGCCTCGACCGGCTTACTCTTCATCGTGGGACAACCCGAGGCTAGCTACGGCACTGTGGTTGTTCAAGCCACGGACAGCCGAGTGCGTTGTCAGCTGACCACGGGCCTCATCGACGGAGGTTGCTCCTCCAGACGGACCATCTCGCTGGTCTTCATGGACTTTATTCAATGCCCCTCGGACGGGGTTTATTACATTGCGACTTCCTCATCGCATGCCACCATCGAGGTGACAGAGCCTACATTGCCTGGCGGCGCGGCCTACGAGGCCACCAACATGCCTCCCAACGAGGAGTATCCCGTTGGCACGACGGCACTCTTCTTCATGGGACCGCAGCCCGATTTGGGCACTCGGCCATTTTGCAACTTCTCCATCACTGTGCGTCGAGGCTTTGACTTACAGGCTCGTCAGCTGCGGCATCGCAACTTGCTCTCGCGACAGGCTTCACAAGACCTCTTCTTGGAGGACTTTGAGTCCGTCTTGGGCATGCTAACCCCGCCTACATTCTCAATCACCGGCTCGCTATTTGATGAGGATTTGGCAATTGGTGTAAGCAGCCCCAGCGGGCGTCCGTTTACGCTCACTCGCCATGCGAACGTGTCGGCCCATGTGGATATCGACCTTATTTGGTGCAGTTCCGGTACCTTCACGGGCCAGGAGGACAATTTTGTCAGCTTGCCCGCCACCATTTCTCTCGCCACGTCGGCTCAAGTTTCCTTTACTGACCAAGGTTCGGGTGCTCTGGACGACGAACGATGCCTGCGTATTGCAGCGCGGTCTTCAGCTCTGGCAGAAGAGCTATTTTGGGAAGCGGTGGATATTGTGCTGCCGCTTGCTTCCCTGGGTTCTGGTTCCATCGATCGCCGCCGTCGTGCCGCCGCTGTCTATCAACCCACTGCTGCCATCATGGGCGTTGAGTACGGTGTCACGACGAGTTCCGAGCAGGACCTTCTCTTGGCGCAATACCTGGCACTCGAAGACCTCGTGGACCCGCGTTGGGTTGGTTGCCCAACTGGGCGGATTACATATCTCGTGTCTCAGCCAACGCTGAGCACCACTGCAGACTGGACTGAGCCGCAGGCCACAGATAACGTGGGCCTGCGGGAAACCCATTCCAACTATGCCCCAGGTGATACCCTGGACATGACGGACTCTCCCTTCAACGTCATCTACACGGCCGTGGATCTGAGTGGTCGTACTGCGACGTGCGAGTTCACCGTTGTCCTCGAGCTTGCGGGGGAGCCGCTTGTCATCGCCGCAGACCTGGACCTTGCCTTATCAGGCCAAAGCGTAACCCGTCCCTTCTCGGACGTGATTTATGAGCAGTACGACCTGGTGGACGTCTTCGACGCAAGCCTCTCCGTCCCCAGCGTGGATTTGAGTCTTTACAGCTCAGTCATCATCAATCTGACGACCCCCGGGGGCGAGGCCATCGAGGTGCGGCCTGATGGGGATGAGCTCATCAGTTTCTTTGACATCAGCATGAACTGGAACCTGGACGCTGCCGTGGCTGTGGCCCCGGTAGATGGAGTCTCTCTTTCGTATCAATTTTTTAATCTGCAAATTCTCGAGCAGGATGCAGCAAGCTGTGTGGCACCGTTGGCGCAAACGGTGCTCACTTCGGCCAATGTTGGAATTCGCGGCGATGGGGCGAGTTCGACGCTGTGGGTGCGCGCGCGCACCCAAACCTTTGACTGTCGCTTCAACTTTACGGGAGTGCAGCTTAAGATCCAGTACGCAAATGCGCTGGCCTCCGTCACCAGCCAGCTGACCCTGGACACAAGTAGCTTTTTCTTGCTGTCTCGTGGTCTGGACGGGCCGCTGCCGATCAACTCGTCGCCCTTCCTGCTGATCACCGACTTTGTGGATCCAACTCTGCACGGTTGTTCGAGTAACCTGACGCGCGTGTTGCCGAGCAATTCCAACGCCGTTGCATTTTCCTGGCCTCGGCCCACCTATTCAGACGACATTCGTCTCGCCGACCCACCCCTTGAGCAGTACCTGATTGGCAGCACGGGTAATGTCACGGCCATCACGTTGGCGCAGTCGCTTCTGGCTTCGATCCTCGCCCCCCACACACCACCCCTGCAGATCAAGTACGTGGTTCGAGATTACTACGGCCGAAGCACAACGTGCAGTTTTGCGCTCTCAGTTGAAGATGAGACCCCTCCTGTGTTGACGCCGGCCAGCAATATGATTGTTGTGGCCGACGAGGACCAGGCGTATGCGACAGTAAACCGCAGTGGCCTGCTGCAAATGCTCGATGACAACTCAGGCCTTCCTCTGACCTGGATCACACCCGGCAATCAGCAGGTTCAGGTGCCCATCGGTTCTGCGTCTGTCAACGCGACGGTACGCGATGCCTATGGCAATTCTCAGACCGTGATGGTGCCGGTGGTTGTGCGAGACGAGCAGCCTCCGCGCGTCATCTGCCCCACGTCCCCGGTTGCGTTGGTGAGCACGGCCGCCTCGCCCAACGTTGTCTACAACTATACTTTGCCCTTGGCGGAGGACAACAGTGGCAGCGTGTTTGTATCAGACAATAATACGGCAGCAGCCTTGCCTACAGGACGAACTACCGTGGTTATCGTGGTGAGCGACGCTGCGAACAACGCTGTGACTTGTGTTGTTCACGTCGATGTCACCGCTGCTACCAACAGCAACAACACTGCCAGCGGACAGGGCTCGGCTAACCCTCAGGACAGCACCAGCCTCATCGGTGCGGGTGCCGGCGCTGGCCTCCTCCTGCTCTTGGTGCTCGTGCTGGTGCTGGTTTTATATCGGCAGCGTCAGCGCCGCCGACAGCCCGCGGATTGGGACCAGGTCTTTGCTATGATTGATCAGCTCAAGAACTCTGACGGCGACGTTAAAGTGCCGCGTGAGCTGCGTCGCCAGTGTCTGACCTTGCTTGAGGAACTGGGCCGGGGTGCTTTTGGTCTTGTCTACAAGGGTTTACTGGAAGAACCGCCGAACCCTGGCTTTTTGGTGGCTGTCAAGAGCTTGCACGATGCCGCTGATGAGAAAGCGCGTCAAGAGCTGCTGGAAGAAGCTGCCGTGATGGCTCAGTTCAATCACCGTAACGTTGTCAAACTTGTGGGCGTGGTAACCGTGGGTCGACCCATCTTGGTCGTCATTGAGTTTTGCGAGAAGGGCGCCCTTAAGGGCTATCTTGAGAAGCACGATTTGACACAACACCAAAAGCTCCGCTTTGCTCTGGATGCTGCCCGTGGACTGGAGCACATTCATGCCTACAACTTTGTGCACCGCGACGTGGCTGCCCGCAACGTGCTCGTGTCCTCGGACCTGACGGCCAAGGTGGCCGACTTTGGCTTGGCGCGTGAAGCAGACGGCGGCGCCGAGGAGACATATTACCGTGCCACCTCGAGCCAGATCCCTATTCGATGGACGGCGCCTGAGGCCATGGAGGAGCGCAAGTTTTCCGAAAAGAGTGATGTTTGGGCCGGTGGAATCCTCTTCTATGAGATCTTGACCAGAGCCGCTTTGCCCTACGACGGCTGGTCCAACCAGCGGGTGTGGGTGGAGGTGTGTGCCGGCTATAAGCTGCAGCCACCCACAGGCACGCCCACGGAGCTCTGTGACCTGTTGAATGACATGTGGAGTATGAATCCCAAGGAGCGCCCCGACTTTAGTGGAGTTGTCGAGCGCCTGGAAGAGCTTCTTAGCATGTCCCTTGACGGAGGTGCGTTTGGATCTTGCTTGTGGGTAGTATACTTTGGTGGATCACGAGCTAGGCGAGGAAGGCGAAGGGAGGCAAGGAGGGGCGAGGGTGAGTGAGGGCGGTATGAAAGTAGCTTGGGCAGGTGAACATGGTTTTGAACTGAGAAGACAGCTATTCCATTTGCTTTGGCCTCCTCTCTGACCTTCCAACTGTCTCCAACTGTCCTGCCCCCCCATGTTTCTTTGGCGCCTCACTGGTTGGGTGCGTATTGTATTGATGCACCGCTTACTGCAGATGATGCAGATGAGTACTTGAGCGTTGGCAACTCATCAACGCAAGAAACACCCGCCGTTCCGCGTCGTGTTGGAAACCGCGGCTACAAAGACAGTGTGGATCAGAGCTATCTTGAGGCGCGGTTGATGGGCTCAGATGATGGTATGGCCCTTTATGATATGGGTGCAAACGATACATTTGCCAGTGACACAGTCGGAGGGGACGGCGAAGGCATGGCGCTGTACGACCTGGGAGGCGGAGAGCCCACGCAGGACACGGCGGAGGCCTCTGTGGACCCGGACTTTGAGTCCACCGGGTTTGATGGCGCTGGGATGATTGGCGCCACGTCCACGGTGCGTCCTCGGCGAGGAATTGAAAAGAGCAGCAGCTTTCAGTCTTCCGAGGGCGGCTTCTCCGAGGGCGGTTTTTCAGAAGGCAGTGCCTCCATTCTTTCGGGTGCTGCTGCGGTACGTCTCGGAGTCACACTGCATCACATGGCGTTCTCTGTAGCGGTGTGCGCTTGCGCCTGTCGTGCATGTGGTGTCATCGTGTACGTTTGATGTACTGTTGTGGCAGGATGACTTTTATGGCAACATGGACACGACGGCGCCCCAAGAACAGCGAGGTGCGTCTGCTTGAGTCTTGGAAACAGTTGCTGTTTGATGTCCTAGAGTTGAGTTTGTAGTTGTCTGGTCTGGGTGCAAACTTGGGAGCAAGAGCATTCATCAAATGTGTCTGGCTTTGTGTTTGTATTTGTGTGCGTAGTTGTGGCCGAGCATGACATTGGCAAGCGTGTCGTGGTGCAAGGCTATCGCTCGCTCGGCTACCTTCGCTTTTATGGCCATCACCACGAGAAGGGTGGCGTGCGCTGCGGCGTCGAACTGGACGAACCCGAAGGCCGCAACGATGGCACTGTGTCGGTGAGTTTTTTTTGTAATCCCAGGGACGGTCGCACGCTGTTTCAACCGTGTTCCCGAGACGTGCACCGAACATATGGGCGGCCCTGCCTCTCCTCATGCAGCACTCTTTGTGCGTGTTGGTATCAATCGCTTCGCTGACCCCTCCAACTTGCTGTCTGTTTGGCTACAGGGCTATACTTATTTTACGTGTCCGGCCGGTCATGGCATCTTGGTTGTGCCCAGCAAGGTGTCGCTGCTGTTGTGATGTCATTCATGTTTTCTGGCCACTGGTCACGAGTCGCAAGGTTTGCACATTGTGGCGAATTTTTGTTTTTAAAGGGTCGGCGGGGATTTGCGCTTGTGTTCCCCACAACCTCCTGCATATAGCCTTCATAACTTCGTACTTCTGACGCAGTTTTTCGCTTGGCGTTGTCAAGCATTTTGACCCTCATACAACTTTCAACAAGTAAGGTGCAGCCAGCAAGTTGCCCCGAGGGCGCTTGCCAGTCTTCAGGCCCATTATTTCATGCTAATTCACATGTCAAAATTTCAGCTTATTGTTGACATGTGATTTGTGAAAAGAAACGAGAGGGTTCGAGCGTGCAAGCATGCAAAAAGCGTCGCGCTGGCAACCAAGGAAGGTCTTTGCAAAGTAGCACGGATATTGACGGCAATTCTTGAACCCCTGGTCAATGCTTGTGCTGTCGAGGCCTCGGATTTAATGTTAGCTATTGGGTGGCCGTGCATACAGCGTGGTCGCTTGAAGCAGCTGTGGCGTCTTTGTCAAGCGCTTCGCCAAGATGCATAGACTAGCGACCTGGTCCACTCTTGCGGTCCTCCTGCTTGTTGGTGCAGGGGTGGGAGCCGAGGAAGAGCAAGTGATAGAAGACGAGCCTCTAGTGGCAACCTCGGCACATCAGCTCCTCTCGCAGATGGAGAATTTTGTGCGAATGCGGGGGCGCAATGTCACGTGGCGGAGTACCGAGCTGGTTGAGTTGCCCGACTACTTGAAGCTGCTGCTGCCTTCGGCTTCCATCGACTGTGGCGCTCCATGTCGAGCCAAGGAGATGGACAACCTCATCCATCCGGTCTCGGCCGTGGTCATGCGCAACAGCAACAACCAGCTTGGCATGATGTTCTTCGTGGAGGCCCACAAGCTGGTTTTAAACGGCAAGCACCCCGTTCGCGTCGAACTCCTGGGATGCGGTGAGTTGGCGCAAGAATGGGCAGGGAAAGCAGCTTTGCCCTGGCCTGACGTACCGCACCCTCCGCATAAAGTCTTTGCCTCTCAATAAAGCAGCCGCTTGCGGGCGTGCACGACTGTGTTGCAATGGCCGCTGTTGTCCTAGGCGTCGGCCCCGCAGAGACGGCGACGGAGAACCGGCTGTGGACCAAGGCCATGTCCACTCGCTTTGAAACCCTGCGCAATCACCGCTGGTATTGTCCGATTGCTCTGGATATGATCGGTATCGTGCCCGCACCGACCCTCTGAGGGATACTGATGGCCCGCGTTCATGCTGCTGTGGCAGGTACGAGGTGACGGCGCGAACGCGGCCGTTGTCCTCGGCGTTCGCCAAAGTCTGGTGTCCATTGCCGCAGCTGGCTGCCTCAGGACTTGAGGCCGTGCGTCCCGCGAACAACGAGCTCTATTCAAACATTGTTTGGGACACTGCTACAGGCCGCTGGCAAACTTTGCGCAACACGCCTCCTTTGGCCCGGAGCTCGGCCGTGGCTCCCATGAACAAGCCCTGGCTACGAGTGCGGGTACGTGCCTCAGCATCGTCCGGGCTACATGCTGGACTGGGCAAGGCTGCCTGCCTTGTTGGATGGGATATCACTGATTTGAGCTGTGTGCCGGGTGGGGGGCTTGATTCATTCGCGTCCTGGCGCTTGTTCCCTGCGATGCTGCACCCGGTTTGAATGTCCAATTCGCAGGCGGGGCCGTGCGAGGCGACGTGTCAATTATCCACCTTTGAGCCGCTCGTGTTGCCCCGCAAGACCAAGTTGGCAGAGCACGGCGTGGTGGTCGGCATCATGCACCACGTGACGCCGATTCTTGAGCAGTTTATGCGCTATTATCGCGATCACTTTGATGTAACCCACTTCACGTTCTATACAAACGAGAGCTGGGTGAATGCTTCCGAAAACGGGCTACACCCGCCGCCCGGTGTCTCAGCTACCGTCATTCAGTGGCCCTCGCCATTGCAAACTTACAAATTTGGCAAGTCTTTGGCTTTGGCGGACTTTACGGACCGCGCACGATATGCCTACGAGTGGGTGCGTGGATGCCTGTGCCGGGATATGTGCCTCTCTTGATATGTGCCTCTCTTGATATGTGCCTCTTGATCGCTCCTCTTTTTCGATGGGTCGTCACACGCTGACACTTGAGACCGGGAAATGGGTATCGGTTATTTGGTGTCCTTTGACCAGGTGTACTCGATTGATGTGGATGAGTTTTTGATTTACAACCCGCCAACCCCAGGCCTACGCTTTCCGGACTTGCTACGCCAGAAGGTGCGTCAAGTCAGGCGTACCATGCCCCTCGTTGGTACGGGACCAGGCTTCCTCCGCACGGCATTTTTCGGCCCGCACAGCCAGGTTGTGAGAGTTTTATTACCGTTGAAAACTTTGTACCTTGATCATCACCATCATTTGGGCTTGGGCATTGGGTGGTCACGGGGTATCCATCTGGCAGCGGCAAGAGGACCCAGCGATAGCCTGTTATACTTTGCTGCGCCACAATGTGAAGCGGGATTGCAGCCTACCCCAGGTGCGCCAGCGTTGGCGGCGTATAATGTTGGCACGGTGTATATTGTTGGCGCGGCGCTTTGTGTTCAGCCAATTCTGACGGAGGGGCGCTGTGCAGGTGCGCTACGCCAGGGGCCACAACGTCACGCTTCAGGACATGGTATGTTTTGCGAGTTTTGGCTTTGCCAGAGACACGGGCCTGGCAGACAACCTGATATTCGATGCGGCCTTTTCAGATTAGCGATAAGGATCGTAACTACGTCTCTCCCAAGGCCGTTTATCATCTACCAGCCACACAGCAGGTCCGCGTTCCTCCACAGGGCCCATGTTGTACACGCGTTTTCTGCAAGCAGCTCAACGACTATGCAACGCCGATTCCCATGTAGCTGCAAATTCACCGTTGCTGGCCTGATTCGAATAAGCGGATGCTGACTATGCTCGAGTCAACAGCGTGCGTCCTGCGTCTCCCAGCTTCCTTCGCTAGCTACTTGGCAGTTGCGCTGCACTGCCCCTGCGGACCTCACCTGGACTGCGGAATGGTGTTTGATCCTATGGTCGTGCGTGTTTGTTTGTGTAGTTGGATCGCCCATCTGGAGCGCGGGGAGCCGCATGCGGATACGTGTCAGCATCCACCAGGCTGGCGCCCCTTTCACAAGGTGACTCAACCCACAGGCTTTGCGTGGTGTCAAGGCTCGCGATGACGGAAACGAGAAGCGAATGGCTCGCTCATGGCATCTTGCTTTTTACTCGTGCACACGGGCTTCATCTTTGTGTCACAGTCGGATCGCATTCATTTCTGGCAGCAATTTGGAGAGGGGGCCAAGGTCGCCCAGTGGGTCCGAGACCAGCCTCCACTAGATGAGAATTCATAAGCGTCGATTCAAACCGACCACAGTTCGTGATAGAATCAGCTTGACTGTGACATTGCACAGCGGGTTACTTTTTTTTTTTTTTTTTTTTTTTTGTGCAAGACAAAAATTCTTTTGTTTGGTGGCGGGTTTGATCATTCAGAATCCATGTAACTCGGTTGACATGCCTGATCACAAAATGTGCCCACGACCCTTTGGTGGGCGCATGGCGTGTGTATCGCATCGCATCAAAAAGGGGCATGTGGTGTGATGCAGGCCTCGGCTGACGGCAGCGCCGCTCATCCACCACACACGCACAGAGCTCACTTAGCACTAATCATACCTCAATGCTGTCAGCGCCACACATTTGCGTTTCATAGCATGGCGACTTCAGCAGAAAACACCACACCTGACATCAAAAACCCCATACATAGATCCGAATACACACGCGAGGCACACAAAGATCAGGCGACCTGGAGGTCGGCGCTGTGTACAAACACCACTATCCGTTCTGATCTGCCCGGCCAGGTGACGGCTGACCCTTCTTTGAGTATGAGTGACTGGTCGCATCTTGGCAGTCTGACCCTCTTCTCGATCAAAAGGTCAGGTCGCCATCGCAAGACCCCGTGTCGCGCACCACAAGGGCTCGAGCCCTCGTGCAAACTTTTTTTTCTTTTCTCTCTTTCTCCACATTTTTCATCCAATTTCATTTACATGGTGGCACTCTCTCTGGCTTTTGATCTGCTTGGCTCTCTTTCTCTGACAGTCAGTCATCATCTTCCCCTACTCTCTGGGTTACTTGAGAGTTGCGAGCGTTTTCGTGTGTTGGTGACGCTGGCGGTGCGCAACTCTCTGACCATGTGTCGTATTTTTCTTGTGACTGTTGAACACATCTGCATTGCAAGCCATTCTCTCAGCTTCACTACGTGTGTGTGTGTGTGCGTGAAAAAGTGGCCATTTCTTGACTCACAACTGCGCCGCTCAGCCCCCGTGTGCGTGTGCGTGTGTGTGTGCGTGTGTGTGTGAGCGCCAAAGGAGAAATAAGAAAAGTAGTTGTGCATCGAGTGCCCGCCGCGTGCCTGCATTGGACGGGGGGAAGAGACACAACCTAGGCGGCGCGGGCGCGCCCACCGCCGACTTTCTCCTCGTGGTCGAGTCGGGAACGTGCCGCCGGCAATCCGTCACGCTGCCAACCGAAAAGAAACCGAGGAACACCCCCCCACACCTTCACTACAACGGAAACGGCGTGTGCCTGGCCTTTGCGCTTTTACACCCACCAACACAATGGCAGCCCTTTCACCGATGCACGACGTGCGCATCTTTCAGTTCGCGGCTGCGGTTGGCCAGCTGCGTATCGAAGGGGAACGCGAGGAAGCCTTGTTGACCCTTGAGGCCATCGTTGACTCCCTCATCGAAGACGCAGAGGCGGATTTTGATGGGACGAACCCCCCTCCCTTGGCCCATGTGCTGGAGCAAGCCATTCGCACCTTGCTGCGTCTGGCTTGGACTGGTCCGGACGCAGAGATGCGCACGCGCTGCAATCAGCTCGTCGATACCATTGCCCAAAAGGTGAGATCAAAGGTGCAGCAGCAAAACCATGATCCCCATCCCCCGCTTGCCCCCCTTTTCCCCCTTGTGCTGAGAGCCGTCACGACTGGATTGAGTCAATCCTCCAACATGAATTCACTTTTGCTCGCTATTGTTTGATCTCCGGCGGGTATCCTGACTCAGCTGACCGAGTGGAACACGCCCGTTCATGTGCCGGAGCTGCCCGCCATCTCCTCTTTTCTCAGCCTCGAAGAACTCAAGCCAATCGATACAGATGATGAAGAGGTTCGAGGGCTCGACTGGCGTACGGGCTTGTTCTCGCACAACGCATGATCCATATCGAGCCAATTCATTTGTCTGATGTTTCTTTTCCACTCCAACCAGGTCCTCTCCGAGCTACGCCTGGCTTTCGAGAGCGATGGTCGCGTCTCCAACATGACGCGCGTCATGGCCACACATCCCAAGTTTCTTTTGGTGAGGCCGCGGGCATTTGTGATTAGCACTGCGGCTGCGTCGTTGCTGGTTAGATGGTTGCGTTTCAGTCTTTTGCCCCATTTCTCATGGGCTTGCTGGGCATGATAGTGCTTTCGTGAATTTCACAATCACATCCTCCTGGGCGAGGGGCCCATCGCACTGGACGTGCGCCATTTTATTGCAATCATGGTATCAGCTCGGCTTGGTCTGCACTGCCCTGGCTACTTGAGCTCGCTTTGCTGATCGCAATGGCTTGGTTGCGTGTTAGGCGGCGTCCCGTCATTGCTGTCAGTACCTGATTGATATCCACCTGCATCACTTTCGCGAGCTGGGCGGCGACGAAGAGGTGCGTCTACTTTGCTCTCTCTTCTCTGCGGACACGATCAAGGCTTGGCTTTGCAGAATTTTGCTACGAGACAATGGCTCATTGCCATCGTGTTTCATGATGCGGTGAGGGGTAGTGGCTGACAAATCGCGAGGCCATTCCTGGGAAACTGCGGCGATTGAGTATTATCAACTCTGTCCTTGCATATCAGCCTTGGCGCCTGCAGCAATCACACCTTGCCTTGCTGCTCAACGTACGACCTACGCGCTCACGTTTGATGCCATGCCCGTGAATTGGTCGGCACCTTGCTCACGTCGAACGTCTGCACCCCGTCATGACCATGGTATCGCGTTAATCGTGTTGCAGAGTCCAGAGGATGACAACTGGTCGCTTCCTGAGCTGATGCAAGCCGTTCTCTTGCTTTCTCATTTTCATGCCCTGGCGGGCTTTTGCTTGGCTACGGGCTTGCTACCTGAGGTTGATCTTAAACCGTTGGATGGTGCTGACGACAACGTGGACGAGCCTCCGCCCGAGCCAGGCGTGGCACGCGTCAATTCGCACGAGCCTTCTGCTCTCTTTGCTTCGGTCGTTGCCAAGTTCGTGAAGGATGGGCGTTACATTTCACTTCCTATGCTGCTCCCAAAACGCTCTCCCCGACAAGGTGTCCCTTTCACGGTGGCTCCTGCTTGACCCTCAGACTCAAGGCAGCGGCCAACGCCGATCCGAATGATGATCTGGCTGCACCGACCACGCCGGTTGCCAACACTCACGATGCCACACCAAGCAGCGTTCTGATGTCACCACCCAGTCAGTTGTGTGCCAACTTTTGTGATGACACCTTCGTGGGAGAGCAACCATGCGTGTGCTGCGACCTTCTTTGCAACTGCTCTCTTGACTTGTATTCTTGTGCCGGTAGATGAGAGCGAGGATGCTGCCGAGGTGTCTTTTGTTGCTCCCGTGGAAGATCATTGGCGTACCTATTTTAGTGCCTCCAATCTGCCCGAGTGGGATTCGGCTATTGAGGAGCACCACGTCAATGTGAACACTGGCAAATTTGGCCGCTATCTTATCAAGACCATGGTGCGTATGCAGGCCAAGCCTTTGTTCTGGACAGACCACCACCGGAAACGGGGAGGGGGTCGGGGGTTGTAATGCGGTGTAGGTTCTACTGAACCGTTGGCTCACCTGTGTGACTTTTGGACTTGTCTTCCTCTCTGGCTTGCCAATGTCAAAGGCTTTCTCCTGGGTCGATCATGGTTTTGAGCTGGTGCAGCGCTTTGGACGCGAGTATGCACAGTTGCTCGATACTGGTCAGTGGCTTTCCCCATCCTTGCACATGCGAGGCTCGATCAAATTCGGGGTTGCTCTTTGAGTTTCACTCACTGGTCCTGCTTATTGGTTTGTTGGTTGCAACGAATGCGCAGAGTTCCAGGTGATTACACAGCTGACCTACGACTTTATTGGTGTGATCAAGGATGTTAAGACCAAGCCTGTGCGATCGGCCATCTGGCACTATTCCTCCTTCACTCGTGGCATCATTAACGACGAGTTTTGGTACAAAGATATCAACGATGTGCTCAGCAAAGAATGCAAGGTGTGTGTGTGTGTGTGTGTGTGTGTGTGTGTGTGTGTGTGTGTGTGTGTGTGTGTGTGTGTGTGTGTGTGTGTGTGTGTGTGTGTGTGGTTTAAGTGACCGTCAGTGGATTTGTGGTTCTGGAGAGTCCTTTGGCCAAAACCTCTGATTGAGATGGGCAACCCGCGGTGCAGGCGTTTTGTAAATTGCTGGCATGCGAGCCGGAGCGCATCACGATCGATGATTTTTCGTGGTCAGACTTTTTGCCTGATGAGAAGGTACGAGTCCGAGGACGACCGTGCGCCTCGCTCTTTCGCTGCTTTTGCTCATGCATTTGGCATCATTCCGTGCTGGTGTCTCTCTTGAACGCCTTGCCTCTCAGATTCACGTGGCGCTCTTGGCCATGGATTCGAGCAAACAAGCCTCTCTCCTGTACTTCTTGCGGGCACTGCAAGACTTTTTGAAGCAACAACGGGCTTCACCGTCTCTGGGTTAGGCGATATCACTGCCTGCCATGCCCAAAGGACCGAGTGTTGCGCATCAGCATTCAGGGGAAGGCGTCGAAGTGCTCTAGACATTTGGGTTGTGTCAGCTTTGGTTTATTAGTAGTTTTTCTGTATGTGCTTGGTTGTTCGCTTTCCGTACATATTGTCTCGATCGTGATGTAGGCAAGAGTGCCCTGTTTCTGGTGTTGTCTCAAAGTGGTGGCTCAAATACTCAAGTCAGGTCTTGGTACAACTGTGCTTCCCCCAGCTTTGGCTGGTTTGAATGCCTGGGGGCGAGCCCGCCCTTTGTGCTAACGTCTTCTGCACAAGCCCCAGTTCTCGCATTGGTCCAGCACGCGATGCATAATTGAATTTACAGTTAGAGTTTGTTTCTACACAAAAAAGGGTTGAACCAGTTTCGATTGTGTCATTGGGGCGGGGGCGTGGAAGTGAGGGGGGAAACTCATCGGCGATCACGGTCGCGGCGATCGCGGTCGCGGTCACGGCGATCGCTGTCACGTTCACGGTCGCGGCGATCACGATCGACGCGGTCGTCATCGCGGCGATCACCACGGTCACCACGGTCGCGGCGGTCACGGCGGTCTTCGCGGTCATCATCGCGACCGCGGCGTTCGCGACGAGCACTGCCGGGCAAAGGACGTTCAATATCCATGGCGCTCGAGTCGCGACGGCGCGCACCCGTGTAGATGGCAACATCTACAAAATCACCAATCTTGAACCTGACGTCACTGAGCGATCGGCTGCCTGCGTCGGTCTTGGGACATGGCCAGAGTGGGTGGGTTGGATAGCGACAGCAATCGTGAGCTGCATGTTCGCGAATTGATGCCATGGGTCTCGAGGGGCTCAAAACACACCTCTTCACCGTTTGTGATTTCACCGAGGTGACGCAGCGTAGGGTTTCCACGCCTAGGCACCAGAGGGAAGTGGGGTGTCCGCACCGCACCAAGGTCGTGGTGAGATGACAGTTACGCAGCTACATTGTACATTGGAGGGTGTGACGTACGTGTCCTTGAAGACCGAGGAGAAAGCAAGTCGAGCACCCTTGCGGCGCGCCGAGGTGTTGCATTCCTTGATCAGGTCTGAAAGTTCTTTGAGCGTGGCATCCATCCTAGCCCAAAAGCACGATTCACGGAAATGACCAAGGATAAGCGGTTGATCATAAATCAGTGACACACGCCAAGGAAAAGAAGCCGCAAGTCGGACCAGGTGTAAATGTCGAGTTCACCCGGCGGTGTGTTTTCGCCTCGGTAATCGTTGGTGTGGTTGTGACCTCCTTCACGGCAGAAGAGTCGCAAAAGAAGGGGACATGTCTAGGGCAGGAGAGCGGCACAAAGATGAGCTCGACGATACCAAGGGGCGAGAAACAGCCCTGCACTCGAATTCCCAGATTCATTAGGGAGCAACGTGAGGAGGGACCACCTTTTCACGGTCAATGGCGGGGGCGGCAGGCTCCTTGGCTGTATCGGCCAGCGTTGTTGAGGGCTTGTCTTCATCATCCGCGCCGCGTCCGCCGCTGCGGCCATCCTCGTCCTCTTCCATCTAACAAGGGGGAGGGGGTGGCGGAGTAGTTGAGGCAGATGAGCCACAGGGCGGGGGTTGGGTGTGATGGCTCGGGGCCTGTGTTGCAGAGAGGCAGAGGGGTTGCACTTTGGAAGAGAGGTCGGTGAGATGTACACGGGGGCAGGTTGCACACCTTGTCCAAAGATTTGCGGGCATCGGCGTCGGCTTCGACCTGATCGCGCTGCGGAGACACCATGATGACGGTAGCTGCACAGGGAAAGAGGGATCCGAAAGGGGCAAACGCCACACGAGCGCTGCTACCGTTACTTCCCCCGCTGCTTCAATGGCCAGTCAACAATGGGATGGAGCAAACGCACGGGCTGCTGTTCAGTCGGAGACCTGCTCAGTCGCCGAGTGTGTGTGTGAGCGACGGCGAGAAAATGGTGAGTCTTTTGGTCTCTGTGAGTCTGGAGCAAGATTAGGGGATTTGCTCAGTCTCCGGACTACAGTAGTTGTCAGCACTTTTAAAAGTGGAGCAGTGAAGCGGTGGGAAGCAATTGTTTTGGGATGAAAAACCCACGTTCACCCTTTGAAAATTGAATGGGATGATGAAACCGTTACGCGCGCCAGCGCCTTTTTTCCCTTTTTGTGATCCATGTGTCAAGAGGCGTAAAGGCACAATGTGTTAAAGTGCGCCGAACAAGTCAAAAGGGAGCTGTGCTATGACCTGTGCGGTGTGTGGCGCTGGTAGGGGGCTCAGGATGGGAACGCCGGGCGCCAGCTTCGGGCAGTCGTGGGCCAGTTTGGCACAACTCAAGAACGGCATTGAGAGACAGAGAGCATGGGCGTGAGGCTGACGTGCGACAACAAAAGATGAGAGTTTGGCGTGCTCGACCAAACAAAACGAACGCAGAGCGGTTGGGTCACCACGCTTCTTCCTTGCCGCGATGAGATGCACGCATGCTTTTGGTCATCGTACATGTACAATGTCATTCCCAGACATTTGGCCCGAGCGGGCTGAGCAGTACTTGTGTCTTTGGGCAAACGGCAGCCACGGGCGATGCACGAACAACGCTCCCATAGGTGTGCTCCTCCACTCCTTCAAAACCCGAGCAAACGGATGCTCGACGTGGCTTGCCACAACGGTTGTGCCCTACGGCTCGCTTCAAGTCGCTTTCTTCAACCGCCCCACCCACCCACCCACCTTGACCCTTACTTTACGGGGGACGTCGGGGTTACTGAAGCAAGCCCATTCCTTGTCCGTCTTGGGAGAACCGTTCGTATGACTGTTGCGCGTCATGCCCATGCCGCTGCCATTGTGTTTCTTCGCTCCTTCAAGATATGCGACGGAGCAAGAGCTTGTAATGTCGTGTCTGAATGATTATGTTTTGCCCATGGCCTCTCTCTCTCTTCCTCTCTACAAATTGAATTGGTGATGGTCATCGGCGCGAGCCAAGGGTCGCGCAGCGGCAACAAAAGAGGAAAAAAACCACCAACACCAAAAGCGACGTTGATGGGTTTTGACTGTGTGTGACTACTTGGTGAGCACACAGAGAGAGAGGGGGGGAGAGAGAGAGAGGGAAAAAGAGAGAAAAGAACACAGAGAGAGAGAGAGAGAGAGAGAGAGAGCGAAATGAATAATTGGCCTGGTTGGAGAAGAGAGAGAACACAAAACAAAAGAAAACAAAGAAAAACAAGGAGAGAGAGAGAGAGAGAGAGAGAGAGAGAGAGAGAGAGAGAGAGAGAGAGAGAGAGAGAGAGAGCGAGGGAGAGCGAGTGTGTGAGTGAGTGTGTGTACTTTCGGCTTCAGAAGCAGTCAGGTCGATAGCGACAACGCCAGCGACGGCGACAGCGACGGCGACGCGCGACGGCAGAGCACTACGTAAACGAGCTGGAAAACTGAGCCCTGGACCACAGGGGTTTATTCGGTGACCTCTGGTGGTAGCCGGCTGTGGCAAGTGGTCGGGATTGGCCTCGAGTTCAGACACAGCCAAAGCCGTTTTGGGTTTTCTTCGGCTTTGAGACCCCAAGATCGCAAGATCACACACGTAAAAAAAATTGACCGCGCGCACGCAGCAGAACGGCAGCCGCGCGGACGACCTTCCCTAGTGACTGGGACAGCCTGGTTTTTCTTCTTCTTTTGGTCAGTTTGTCTTGCTCTTATCGCTGAGTGCCTGGGCCCATGCCCGACGGTCCTGCCATTTGCGTCATTGATTGATGCGCTGTCAATGTGCGCGTACTGTGACAGGAAGGCGTGCCGCGGTGGTCGTGCCCTGCTTGAGGGTTCAACGCAGCCACTATTTATACCTGGCTAGTTGCGTCTCCTGTTGACCCATTGGGCATTGCGCTCTTATCGAGCGCTTGCTCTCTCCTCGCCGCTCAACTGGCCCCACCCTTTCTCCGGCTGAACCGCTTGCTCGGTATGTGGCTGTCCGGCTGCTGCCCCCCCTTTTGCTAGAGGGGGGCGCTTCTCTCGAGCTCAGGCTCAGCCCCCCCTTCTCTCTCTGTTGTTACTTGATGCTTCCTTATTTCGCTTCTTGCCTCTTCTCTCTCTCTCCCTTTTTGCTTCCCCTCTCAACCTCTCGCCTTGGATCATCGGAGCAGACGCAAGCGTGTCAAACCCACTGCACCTGAGGCGGTGGCCGTCTCCTGCTCCCATTCAACTTGTGAGCGTCACTGTGGTTGGCGCTCCACAAGGTCTCAAGGTCGTGGAATACGCTGACTACAAGTTTTAGCATCCAGCCGATACACTGCGCTGAGGAGGACGCGGCGAGGCAGGTGCCCCACCCGTCTTTTCTTGAGCCCACCCACCCTTTGAGTGATCAAAATATGGCAGCGGACGTTGCACGCGACATGGACCTACCAACGCAAGAGCTCGGCTCACAGCAAGATGGCTCCTTGCCTCTTGAGGTAAAAGACAACGCCCTTCAACAACCTGCATGCCCGTGTCCATTTCATCCTGTGCTCATGCCATTCAATTTCCTGACAGCTGCGCATTGACGAGGACCGCATGCGCAAACTCAATCGGCGCATCGAGAATGTAGGTGTCTTTTCGCTCGCACCCTCACAGACACGCTCAAGCATATTCCTGCCCAACGATAATGAACGGTCCGGCTGGTTGCCTGCCTTGGACTGCCCACAGAATGGTAGCTCCTCCCAGGGCGTGAGCCGCGATGGTTTTGAGGACGAAGAAAACAACCAGGCGGCTCAACCTGCGGGAGAAGGCAACGCACAACCGACCTCCACCGGCGCCCTTGCATCTACGGATGCCGGAGCCAATCCCGTCACGTCTCGCCTGAGCGCCGGTCACTCCGCCGAACCCAATACTTTTGAATCCCACAGCATCTCGCCCCTCAACACAAGCCTGCCACCTGCCCATGGGTCTTCCACTACCAGTACCAGCAACCTTTTGGCTACACAGTTGCCCCTGGGGCCCAATCAGCGTTCTCGCTCGTAAGCTTCATGCACTCCTGGACAACAGAAGCTCCCGTCAAGCCAACCATATGCTGGGGACGCTCCCACCCCCAGTGCTCACTCCATGTCTTTGCTGGCCATGTATCCTCAGGAGCTCACCGCTTCATGAGTCGCGCAAGTCTTCCGATGCGGACAGTCGATCCCGTTCTCCCTTACCGCGCTCGCGTGGCAATTCGCGCAAGGGCTCACGCGCAAAGCGCGAACCAAGCGACAGTGCGTATCTGCCCCGCCCCATGTCCCTGATCACATTTCTGCTAAAACCATGGCTCCGGGTGTGGCGGTTATGGAGGGTTTGTCGGGCATCTGCCTGTGCCTATTTGTCTCTCAACCAGTCTTATGGCCACTTACATCATGTTTGTTCTCCTCCAGGTCGTAGCCGTCAAAGCGGCGGCCGACGTGCTCGCAGCAACAGCAGCAGCCAGCACGCAATCTCTGACGCCGGTGACCCCAACCTGAGCACGAGCATGCCTCAGGGCAGCGCCTTGACCAAGTCACCTCCACAAAGAGCATCGGCCAAGCGGCGCCAAAACTCTCCCATCATGCCTGCCAAGCGTTCCATCTCAGGCCAGCGCAAGCCCGGCAGTAATGACAGTGCTAGCGCTACCCTTGATCCTGCTTCAATGCAGGTGCGTCTTTGAACGCTTCCTGTCTTACTCGAACAATCGGCCAGCCACCGCCTCTCGTCTTCTGTTCCGCTCATTCTGGAAAATCATGGTAGACGCGGTTTGAGGAGATGGAGGCAGAACTTCAGCAGTACCGAAAAGTGTTGGCAGCCAAGGATGACGAATTGCGTGATCACCTCTCCTTTTGTCAGCAGACCATCTGCCATCTGGTTTCAGAAAAGTCTCGTCAAGAAAATCGTGCTGCCAGGTGTGTGCAGCCATGCAGCCATGTGTTGCAAGATGCCCGCCGCCTTCCACGTACCAGTCGCGGCGGTTTAGGCATTCTTTTAGCATCCCAGCCTCGATAGCTTATTTGTGTTGCTTGACGCTTTCGCCATCCTGGGGCTACTATCTTCCCCACAGAGACAACTACCTGCGCAACGTGCAGCGTTTGGGTTGGGCTTCAGCCGTGCGCTCAGGCATGCACGTTCACGATGTCTGGAATGAGGGGGCCGCCTTTCGTGATATTCGTCAAAAGCAAAAGGCGCTTGACTTGCGCAAAAAGCAGCTTGAAGAGGAAAAACGTGACCTGGCCAAGGTCCGCCCTGTCAAAAACAAAAAGCGCAGCGAAGGTACAATCACTTTGCAGGCCGAATTGTGCACCTTCAAACCCCTGCTATTTCCCCCCACTTGCTTAGACCTTGAACTGCATCACGCACAACGCTCATGTATTGGAACCGTAGGCGCAGCCGATGATGGCTTTAGCCGTCCCAGCGGTACCGCTCGCAGCCTCAAGTCTCGCCTCTCCGAGCAAGATGTAGGTGTTGTGAAACTGCTTGCTTGTTGAGCAAGTGTGTGTGTGTGTGTCCCTCATGCAGATCAGTCCGTCCGAGCGAGGCAATGTTGGTCCAGCATACGCCTCATACGTGGACATGCCGACCGCCTTGCAGTATGCTGTCAAACTGGAAATCATTCAGCTCAACCTAATCACAATCAAGACCGAGGAAGAAGGCATCAAGGCGCAGCTCAACATGCTGCTGCGCGAGCGCAATCTTCATTTGCGCGAGATGAAGCGCATTACGGATGAAGATAACGCCAAATATCGTGATTTGCCCAACCGGTGCGATCAAGCTGATGTGATGCATTTTGTGCTTTGTGCTGTTGACTTTGATTCCGTATTCCCGTTCCCTTTTGTCACTTGCCGAATGTCCCCTCCGGGTGCATCTGACATATTCTTCTTCTTCGTCTTCTGCTTGTTCTTCTTCTTTTTCTTCAGGCTATCGGAGCGCTACTTGCTCTGCTCTTTGTTGGGCAAGGGTGGTTTTAGCGAAGTTTACAAGGCGTATGATCTTCGCGAGCACCGCTACGTTGCTTGCAAGGTCCACCAACTCAACTCAAGCTGGTCCGATGCGAAGAAGCAAAACTACATCAAGCACGCTACTCGCGAGTATGAAATCCACCGCAGTTTGAAGCATGAAAGCGTTGTGGAAATGCATGGTAAGCGCTTGTTTCGACCACCGCACGTACTTACATCGAGGCGCGCAAAGAGTCACAATGAGCTTTTTCAAGCCTCCCTCTCCCGGGGGGGTTTTCTTTTTGTCTCAGCTCATGTTTGCCCTATATGCACGCCCCTGTTTTTGGTGTTGATCAGATGTGTTCGAGATTGACGCCAACAGCTTTTGTACAGTACTTGAGTACTGTCCTGGACAAGATCTTGACTTTTTGCTGAAGCAAGAACACCGGCTGCCCGGTAAGTCTTTTCTCGACAGGCTCTTGGCCTGCCTAATCTTCCAAATGGTGGGGCATTGCTCCGCAATGTGGTTGCCGCGTGCGGCTTTTTTTTGACGTCCTTCCCACCCGGTCTTGCTGCTGTGTAGAGCGCGATGCCCGTAACAAAATTGTGCAAATTGTTAACGCCCTCAAGTATTTGAACAGCGTCGAGCCCCCCGTCATCCACTACGATCTCAAGCCCGCCAACGTGTTGCTTCGTCATGGCATGGTCAAGATTACTGACTTTGGTCTCTCCAAGCAAGTTCGGGACTCGGATTCGGATGGCAACGTGGACTTGACTTCGCAAGGCGCTGGTACATACTGGTATTTGCCTCCCGAGTGCTTTGTCATTGGCTCAGCCTTGCCCAAGATTAGCAGCAAGGTGGACGTTTGGAGCGTTGGCGTCATCTTCTATCAGTCCCTGTATGGGGAGAAGCCCTTTGGCCACAACTTGAGCCAGCAATCGCTCCTGCAGAACAACGTTATCTTGAACGCCCGTGAAGTGCGCTTCCCGGAAAAGCCCAAAGTGAGCGAGGAGGCCAAAAACTTTATTCGCCGCTGTCTGACCTACGACATGCGAGCGCGCCCAGACGTCTTGACTCTCAGCGAGGACCCTTATATGCGCAAGCGCACATGATCGGCATTGCTGCTGATGGACTTGACCCGTTTGGGCCTGCCCCCTCTCTGTACTCTCCTTTTCTTGTATTTCTTTTCTCTTGCAAGGGGAGGGGTTCTGTTTCCTTTTTTGTTTGTGTTTGGCCATAGGGGTGCTGGAGTTCCACCATCCGATTGACCAACATCTTGGCATGCTATGTTTGTGCCAGCCGTTTAGACCATGCTCGTTTGTCGAGTGTCCTTTATTCTTCTTTCCTGTGACTCTTGAGTTTAGGTGATCCGTGGCAGTTGTTGCGTTGGCTTCGCCTGGTGTATCAGTGTCAATGTTTTGCGTCATCCTCTCGAATATGTGCTTTGTCTTTTTAGGGCCAGTTTCATTTTGTCTTTTCTGCTCTTCTCCATCCTATCGTTTCCCACTTTGTGTTGGCCTTTGTCTTTTCTTCCACCCCACCCCGTGTTCGAATTGTCTTTCCTTGTCCGATTGGCCGCCATCGTGTGGGGTTTGTGAAAGCCAAACGGGTTTCCTTCAAGTTTGGTCGGCTTTTTCCCAAAAGAATTTTTGGGAAATCACCATATCGTTGTCTGGATGGAGGTGTATTGTTGTTGAAAACGGGAATTGAACATTCACCTACCCTCCCGCGCGCCTCATCCCAAGGAAAGGATTTGTGGCAGTGAACTCCTTTTGGTATCATGGCATCGCGAAGCGACTTGACAATCCACTTGACCAAGGGAAAATAGATTTGCGCACTGGTATCGAACACGAAGATTAAATTTTACAAAAGGGCTTTTCAAAAGCCATCTCTGGCCGGGCCAGCCGGCCCCTTAGAGCCACGCAGGGACGACAAGAAGCTTAGACCACAAGCGTCCAGAAGCGGGTGAGCCATTTAGTTGTTAGAGCGTGCATAGTCGCGCTCAAAGAGGTTGGAAAAGAGTTGGCGAAAAAGACCAGCCACAGCGTTATCATCCACCGCGGAAGCCGGCTTGGCCCGCTCAGCGGTTAGATGGTCGATAATGTTGCGAAGCTCGATGTCGCCAGCCTCGATGGGGTCTTCGCCAGATTGGGTCTCTGTCGAGGTACGGAGGAGGGGCACCCACGTTGAGGCATGGCTCCACAAATCATTGATCAGCCAATCTTGAGCATCATAAATATGATGGATGCCAACGACGTTGGTAAGGTGACGTTCCTTCAGCGTCTTGGGGCTAAAGTGGAGCAGATCATTGGGCGTGATTGCTTCACCGCGCACATATTTGGCGACAGTGCAGGCGTAAAAAACATGGTCCTGGTGGTAAGCGCATCCAGTGCCGATGGGCATGCGGACAAAGTCCATGTAGGCGTTTTGGGCGATGGCGGCAGCCATATCCTCCAGGCACTTATCCAGCTGACCCATTTGCACGAGCTCACGAGCGGCACCAGCACTGAAGATGAGCACGCCACCGTAAATGGTCTTGTGGCGTGGTGGCAGAGGGCCCCCGACAAAGGTCCAGAGGATGTATTGCAGGCCGTATATGGGGAATTCAAAAAGATTGAGACGTGAGACATAGTCGTGGCCCATCTCAAAGGGCCTGTTGGGGTTGCAGTACCGCAGGACATGGAGGAGGCGGGAGGTGGAAACGATGACGTCGTCATCGGCAACAATGTAGTACTTGGCGTCAGGGTAGCGGTGAACGAGGTCGTAAAAGCCATATACATAGCGTTCCTGAGCCTTGCAATACCCAGTCTCTCCGCCGGGCACGCGCACTTTGGTCTTGAGCGTGTCCGTTTGCGCGGTAGCTTGGTCGCTCACGACCAAGAGCTGTTTGAAGTGGTTCCACGTGGCCTTTGGGCCGCGGATCAGGGGCAAGCGCTGATCATGCACGCCCTGGCCCGTCACGACAAGAACGGCAATGTCATCTGGGGTTACGGCCACATTATGGTCGTGGTTGCAACGGGGGTGGTGAACGGCATAGCTCTTCCAGTCAGACTGCTTGAACCATACGCCCATGACCAGCAGGAAGTAAGTCCCCAGAGCCAGGTACATGGCCACCCGCAGCACGGTGGGACGCGGCACCCGAGGAAACATGCTGCACGATCTTCACCGCATGTACCTTCAGGCTGCTTTTACCTCTTGCCACAGCTATATCCGCACACTCACAACCTCAACACCATGCACTGCACTGCGTCCCTCGCAGCCATTCGCCATTTGCCACTCGCCACCAGCCATCTGCCGGTAAACTCGTTAACTGCCGGTGCACCCAAAAAAACAAAAAATTATTCAGCTCGTCAATGTCAGACGTTTACTGCTGTTGTTGCTGTTTTTATTTTTGTATTTTTCGGTTTAATAATGAGCACGCACTGGGAAAAGTTCAATAAAAATAAAAATAAAATAATTTGTGTTGGTGTGTGTGTGTGTGTGTGTGTCTCGCTCTCTCTCTGTCTTTCGGTTTTTTTTTTATCAGATAATTTCCTTCTTGTGCAGTGAGCGGCAGTGATCGGTTGGTGTGCGCCTCTTGGGGGACGCTGGCGTTTTGACTTGACTTTGAATCTGGGTTCAACTGCATCCTGTTCTCATTGCATTGATTTTGACTTCCTGACCAACTAGGGCTGCTTGGCTGTGTCAACGAAGCAACTCAGACCCATCGCTGTCTGTCCACACCAGCCTGCGCGCCCGGGCCGGCGCAAGCTCTGGTTGTGCGACTGACAAGAGGGGAACACCAATGTGCACGGTCCATGGCCCCTGATCGCTTGCTTTGGGTTGATCAAATCATGCTGCCCGCCGACGGCAAGAAGCTGGGGTCAATGGGACAAGCCAGGTAGTCACTGGGCCCGAACATTGCATTCAGTGGATGTGAGCGGCCAAGGGTCCCACGCCGTGTTACCCACTTCCGCGGTACCGGTGTGCCAATGAGCACGTGGGGCAGCCGTCATGAGTCTGTGGCGACGATTTACGATATTCCGCCATCGTTTCGCGCGGGTATGCCAGCTGCACATTGCCTTTACCTGCCGCGGCGTGCCTTGTCGCATCACCCTGGGCAATGTGCTCGCCGTCCTCCTCGTGCTCGTCTCCTTCTTCTCGCTACATGCCTTGTCTCTGCGCTATCCATTGCGGACCTTTACGACTGGCCGGCGTCTCTACGCCGCCTTTATTGATTCGGACGTCACCATTGCCCAGGACACGATGCTGCAGCTCCTTCCTGAACACATTCAGGACCGCCCGAAAGAGTTTACCGTCGTCATTTTGGGCCTTTGCCGCGACAACGAGCAGATGTTGCCGCGTACCATGGCTAGCCTACACAAAATTGGCAAATTATTCAAAAACTATCAAATCCTCATCTTGGAAAATGACTCGGTGGATCAAACGCCGGCCCTGCTACGGCAGCTGGCTCGCGAGGATGATCACGTGCACGCGCTTAGCCTCCAGCTCTATGATGACACCCTTCCCTTTCAGTTTGGAGAGAAGAGCAAACGGCGCACCTATGCCATGGCCAAGCTGCGCAATCGGCTAGTGGACATGATGCGCGCTGCTCCCTACAACACGGCTGACTACGCCATTGTGGTGGACATGGACCTTGTGACTTTGCCTGCTGAGCGGGCTATTCAGGCAGCCTTTCGTCTCAACTTTGACGTGGTTTGTGCGCATGGTATCAATTGGCATGTCCATCTCTTTGGTGGTCGCCGTCACTATGATGACTTTGCCATTCAAGACATGGCTGGCAATCGCGTGCGTTACGCCTGCTCTACCTGCGGCGAGCCCGCTATCGATCCCCTTGAGCTTGGACCCGAGACCCCAGCCTTGCGTCTGCAATCTTGCTTTGGTGGCTTTGCCATTTACAACCGTTCCATCTTTGACCACTGCAAATACTCGGGTGACGATTGCGAGCACCTCAGCTTCCACATGTGCGCCATCGACCATGGTTACGAGCAAATTTACCTCGATCCTCACATGGTCCTCGTGCGCTAAATTCGCATCCTCAGCTCGATATTCCGATGCCTCTCATGGCGTCTTGGCTCTTGCAGAGACTGCTGCGACTGGCCGCCGGCGCGCATTGTTTTGAGAGTTGATTTCCCTTATTGTTGTTGTTTTGTTTTTTTGTTTTGTTTTGTATTGTCAATCCTTCCTCCTTCCCAGGTCTATGAGCGTCTGGTGTCTGAGAGCATTCGGTGCTGGCCACCTCGTCTTTCTTGATGTCTTCTTTCATGGTAAACCCTCTGTTTGTTTGTTTGCTGATTTGAGGTTTTGCCCTACCCTTTTCAGCTGAAACCACCCTTGCATCGGGCGTGATCTGGTGTCCAACCCGCGTTTGCCAAAGGCTAAGAAAAAAAGAAAAAAACACCCTTTGCCCCACCCATCTCTTCTCTTGTCGCGGCACTTCAGTTCTCACTTCTAGTTAATCGATCTTTTCCAATTTTTTTGATTGTTCAAGTGCAAATTGTCAAAAAACATCAACGGGCAGTTGACACGTGGGCAGGCGAGCATGGACGGGGATACGGCAGCTGTAGCTGCCGCTGTAGGAGCTTGTGAGGTCCAAGCTGAGGAGTTGCAAAAACATCTTGCTGCAGACTTGCGCTGGCTGGACGAATTCAAATGGCTGCACAATGCGCCCGTGATCACCTTTTTCACCGCTCATCTGCACGAGCGCATCCCCAGCGCCTGGGCATCGGTGCTGAGCAGCTGCTCAGCTTATGACTTGGCTCGTCTGTGCCGGGACCGACATGAGCTCGGTGAGTCATTGGTTGCCGACATGCCGGACGATCTTTGTGCGTTTCTGGCCGTGGGCAATCGCGAACACGCGGCGCGTGCCCCCGTGGACCTGCCGGACGGACCCATCTTGACGCACGCGCTGCAGCAAATGAAGGGTGCCACACCCAAGAAGCGGCACGAATCTCGACGGTTGGTAGCGCTATTGGATGGTTTGCGCCGGAGTGAGGACTGCGAGGCGATACTGGACATTGGAGCCGGCTCGGCATACATAGGACAGCTCTTGCGGCTCTCAGATCCCACGGCCCGATATGTGGGCGTCGAGGGAAACCAATCCATCCACGCCGGTGCCACGGCTCGCGATGAGCGGGTGTTGCGACAGCGCCCCGTGCAGCGATTGGCTGCAGACGGTCAGATCAATGCAACTGGGTTTAGTATCGTGCATGGTCGCCTCGAGTGGCAGCAGCACGCAGAGAATGAGGCGGTCGTCACGCGGGCCCTGCGAACCATCCAGACCGTCAATCACCTGGATCTCGCTCCAGATAGACTGGATTCGGCGTCGGACCTTTCAGCGGTGCTCATGACAGGCTTGCACTGTTGCGGAGACTTGACCCCCAGCATGCTGACCTCCTTTGCGGAGCACCCAGGGCTGCGCAGCTTGGCCGTGGTCGGTTGTTGTTACCACGGTCTTTCGCTGCAGCAAGGACGCACCTACGACTGGTTTTGTCGTTGTCAGACAGCAGATGCACTGGCAGATGGGGCAAGGCAGGCACGGGCCGATCAGGTGCTAGGAAGTTACCGTCCGGCGCAGTCTCAGTCGCAACCCTCAACAACGAATGCGCTGCCCGGACGTTTCAACATGCAGCCAGGACACGACGACTACCACTACCAGCCTGCCCTGGTGTCTGGCGCCCGAGTGTTTGCCGCGTTTCCCATGAGCGCGGCGGCGCATGACGAGATGCGGACGACAGACCGCTTTCGTGTCATCGATCCCTTCTCAATGAGGCGCGCGTCTGCCTCCAACTTGGCCAAAACCTTGGCGGGATCACCGGAAGATTGTGCATTTGGCGTGCGAGCCACGCTGTACCGGACCGTGGTTGAAGAGGTACTGGATCGGCATCCCAATTGGCGCATCAAATCGGTGCGCTTCAAGCTCAGTCGGTAAGGAGCAGCGCAAGCGTCGAGTTTACGTCCTGCCAAACCTTTTTAAATGTATACCTGTTCTCCACTTGGTAAAGGCAGGCCTCGTACCCACGCCACAACACCATCACTTGCTCAAATAGGCTTCAGTATGGTCCTGATTTTGAAAGCTACTTGGCCAAGGCGTTTGAAAATTGGTCAGTCGGCGCCGATGCCCAGACTTGTTCTTGTCGGAGATGCCTCTCGCTGCATTGGTGTGTGCTTGATTGTGTGTCGATGCGCCCCCTCTGCCCCTGTTTTCTTAGCCGGGTGGCTCACCTCGACGAGCCGGTGAATGAGGAGGATCTTGCTGCACAGGAAGCGGCGCGCATCCTTGTCATGGACGAGGTAAGCATCGGGTTTGATCAGGCACCCGATTCAAAGGCACACGGCTGATGGACCCCCCTCCTCCCTTAGATCCGGCGGACCTTTGAGCATCGGGCACCTTTGGAGGCATATCTCCGCATCTTTTTGACCCTGCAGGTGCGCCCACTTTCAAACACCGTTTCTTTGGTGGCTGGTTTTCGGCACTCATCTAAGCGATGGGCATGATAGATGGTGGTGGAGTTGGTGATTGAAAGTGTACTCGTCAACGATCGGTGTTTGTACTTGCTTGAGCAGGGCTGTGGACGTGTATCACGCGTCCCACTCTTTGACGTGGCGCAAAGCCCGCGTTGCTTTGCCATCGTAGCCCACAAAGATAGATGAGATTTTAAGAATGTTTGACCATGCCACGCGACAATCGGCGAACGGCTCCAAGGAACAACAGACGAAAAAAAAAAACATGAAATAACAAGAACTGAGATTAACATCCGTCAAGCAAAAGCGGGACGTCAAGTCAACACACCGACTGGCCACACCGGCTGGCTCTCTGATCTTCGTCCTCTGGCTCTCCCGCCCTCCTTCCTTGTGTGCAGAGAGCGCTCCGGATTGATGTCTTATTTCCGCAGCCTTTGTTCTCAAGTGTGGTATTTTTGGCTTGATCCCCCTCTTCTCCACACCTACAAGTGTGACGGCTTGATCTCGTGCGCAACATGCATACTGGCGCTGGCGCGTGGCAACCACTACATAACGTGTGACAAAACACGACACAAATCTACGTGAAGCATCTCTTTCTCTGAGAGAGAGAGAGAGAGAGAGAGAGTGTGTGTGTGTGTGTGTGTGTGTGTGTACTCTCTCTCTCTCTGTGTTGGGCATGTGCACAGGGAAAAGTGGCGCGGGTGGCTGTTGCTAACGAGAGGTTGGACAAGAAAGAGCTGCTCAGCTCAATCGGCACAACCTTCTCCTCGTCCCCCCCCTCTCCCCCCCTCTCTCTCTCTCCCCCTCTCGTCTTTATTGCTTGACATTGTGCCGTCGTGCTATTTCTGCTTCCTCCTTGCCATCTCCGCTCACTCAAGTTCCATCACCTGCTTTCCAGCAACCAGACCTGGTCTGGTCGTATCATTCAGCCTCTTCCCCCTCGAGTGCCCACACGGTCGTCTTGCCTGCCACACCTGGCTCTCGATAAGGCAAGTCCTGCATCGCACTTGCCAAAAGGAAACGGCATTGAAAGCAGCAGACAAGCTTGGGGCAGACTCTGTGGGCTCCCCTTGGATACGCAAGGAAGGCATATATGCTTTCTTGAAGCCCTTCTGCCTCCGCTCCGCTCTCCGCTCCGCTCTCCGCTCGCAACTTAACTCGATGAATATTTGACCGGCTTTTCTATGACAGGCGGTTGCTAACCTGCCCCTCGGACCGGCTTTAAAGGCCGAACCCGTGTCCGGCTTCCTTGACGGGCTTTTGCCTGCCGGCTTGGGCTGCCAAGGGTTCTTAACCCTATATACCGCCCGCCCCCCAGCAACCCGGGCCGCTCGCCTCGACAGGCTGCCGTCGGGTGGCCGGCGGGTCACTGCGGTTGCCATGTCGGCCATGGCTGCGCGAGCGGAGCTTCCCGCCAGTAACAGTGCCAGCCCGAGCCCCTTTGCCACTGCTTCCTCGGCTCTGCCCGTGCGCCGTCCTGGCCGGTAGGTACTCGGGCCATTCAGCTGCAGTTCCGCCTCCTTACCAAATCGGACTTGCCTCTTCTCTTCGGGCGTCCGGCACGCGCGAGCTCCCCGTGCCTCGCGTTCATGCCAACGCCTCTGGGACCCGCGCTCAGCATGCCATCTCACGCCCGTGCCTTGTGGATAATCATTGATAGATCATTGGACGGTTTGGGCACAAAAAATGATCTGCTCACATCCCTGGCCGATGCGGCCACACGACAGCCCAGTGCCGCCGCACGCTTAAACCTGCGTACGGCACCCCACCACGATGATCTCAGCTCCACTCAGTCGCTTTTGAATAGCCTTCTTCCTATGGCGTATGTCATGCTACATTCCAAAATGCCCCGTTTGGTGACGGCCCACCGGCTTCCAATCCCGCCCCCTCGCATAGTTTCCCTCTCACCCTTTTTGGGTCTGGATAGGTCCGCTCCGAACACTCTAAAGTCGAATCAGCGCCACCCGGGACGACGGGCGCAACCTAGTGCAACTTCCCATGGTAGTGGGAGCAGCACGGACATGGCCGATGTAGAGCGTGTCCAATCGTCGCTGCATAACCACACGTCCTGGCTCCGCGAGCATCTCAAGCCGCTCGATGGAGCTCTGGCTGAAATGCAATCGACAACGACCTCGTCACCAGCTCAGAGCAACGATGTACATCCCAACCCGACGCCCAGTCGCACCTCACGAGCTGATCGTGGTACGTCCATTTCATCTACCTCGCCCCTATATTTGCTGGGTCGCTTGTAGCAGCAGGCCGTCCCGTGCCTGCCGTGATCTCCCCTTTGCGATGCCTTCGTCCTCACTCCATGGCTGCGTGAAAACATTCATCACTCCTCTCAGGAAGCGCGCAGGGCTCTGATACACTGGCTGACTTTCCCAATCTAGCCGAAGCGCTACTCGTTCTGGACCGGAGCAATGCCCATGTAGATGCTTCAGTCAAACCAGCCGTCTCTTTCAACGCGCTTATTGCTTTGGCCCTGCTGGAACACCCACGACACCGCATGACCGTGAGCGAGATTTACTCTTGGTTTCAATCCAACTTCCCGTACTTCAGCTCGCCGACCATTGGCATGAGCTGGAAAAACTCGATTCGCCACAACCTCAGGTCCGGCGGAGCACCCCAGGCGATTGATTAATGCTGGAAGCACACGCGCAACTCGTTGACAACTACGCTTTTGCCTTGCCCCGACTCATCTCCATGTCATTGCCGCATCTTCTGCAGCTCCAATCGTCATTTCGTCAAGGTGGAACGCGAAGACGACAGCCATCTGCCAATGAAGGGCGCTTGCTGGACTCTTCTCTCGGAGAGCCTGGTATTCCTGGCCGGAATCAAGGCACAGCACGCTGCCCAGTCTCCTAGCAAACGCGTAGCACGGCACGGGCGTCGCGCCAAGTCGTCCTCTCATGAACTCCAAGCGAGTCTACAGGTCTCAGGCTATACCCCGACTTTTAGTCCTCCACCCGAGGACCGTGCGCGCTCGCCTCGCCGGCCTCGACCGCCGCACTCAGTGCGTGGGACTACGGGCCGCCGCCGTCGCGCCATCAAAGAGGAGCTCGTGTTGTCTCCTCAGGCGCGTGCCATGGCACCCGCGGACGCCGCGCAGATGCTGCTTACTCTGAGTGGTAAGAAGTCCTTACCTGCCATTCCTGGCCGGAGTGCCCGAGGTGCCGATGCCCTAGGTCGTTCAGCAGATGCCGAGTACGTGCTACACGCCTATCGCTGCTGCCTCTCGTTCAAATCTGTCCTTGTGTGAGCCACAGCTCTGGTCTTGCTGTGTCTGGAAATGTAAGCAGCTCAGCGATTCCAACGTGATTTCTTATCGTTTTGGTTTTTTATTTTCGTAACCCGTGCAGGCTGGCGACGCCCGTACGTCAGCTGGATGCCTCCATTCTCGCCGGCATGGAGGCTGAGAGCGATGAGCGCGATCCGGAGCGCAACCGCCGATTTGCTCGCCGTGTACGCGAATCCCCCAATCCGGCGCTTTTCACCTTCTCTTCTTCCGTGTCGGTACGCGGTTTCAAGACAGAGGAGACGGCCAGAGAGCCTGACTCGGACGGCCCGGAGAAAATGGATGACATGGATGACGCTGAGATGATGACCACCGTGGCCAGTGGCGAAGGGGCCCTGGGCGAACGACCCGGAGCTATGGGTGTGGCTCGTCGCCGCCTGAATCTCCCCGAGGTAGAAGAGGATCCTGTTGCTGATTTGCCGGACGGCATGGATACAACAGGTGATGAGCTCTCTGCTTCAGCCGCCCTCTTGTCTCTTGCCGGACAAGGCACCGTGTTCCATGGCCGCAAGACTCCCATGTGAAATTTCTCGATCTCTTGGGCTGAGGCTGTGTAAGCCACGTGAAGCGGGCTGGCAGAATAAATGCAGATTCGATCATAACTTTTGTGTATTTGAGTAAGCTTCACCTATGTCGAGGGTGGAAGTTTGTCCTTTGGATGTGAAGAGGAATCGACTTGTTTTACAAGAAACGAATCAGTGTACAGGGACTGCGAGACGACTGCCATCATGAATTGGAAAGAAGAAAAAAAATAAGAGGAGAGGGGGCGTGCGGGTCACACGGAAAGAAGACAAAAGCGGACAAAAAAAAAGACATCATGCCAGTAGCAGGCAAAAACACGGGGCTGTTATACACATCAAGGAAGCATGCACGGGTCAACCGGGCAGCGGCGCAGTCGGCTGTCGCAGTTACAGAACGTTATCAGCGATCATTTGGCGCATGCATTTGATAATGTTGTCCAAAAGATCTTTGTATTCAGGCGTGTTGTAAAGCTTTGTGAGAACGTCGCCTGCCAACATCAAAAAAAGAAATGGGGTGAGTGTGGGTGCAGCGAATGGGCATGGGAGGCAGCGAATGGGCATGAGAGGCAGCAACAGTTGTGGTGCACACTCTGACCGTTGCCATAAAAGCCAAACACGTTGTTGACGCGCCCCTTGGATTTGTCCGTGAGGTGGCGAGCGATCAAGGCCTGGAGAGCTTCCTGTGTTGCCGCAAGCCGGCAGAAGGGATTGGGCATGCATAATAAGGCCATGGGCGATGTGTCGTTGTGAAGAAAAATAAACATGTGAAAAAAAATGATACCCCACCCCAAGCGGATTGTTTGACGTACGCGGCACTGGTTCAACAAATCGCAGAGGAACTCGGCATCAAAAGTAAACGCCACATCGTAATACGAGACCATGGTCAGAATGGCCATTTTGAACTTGCCACGAAGCTCATTACCAACGGCTAGGCAATGGCACAGGGCGGGGTAGCGAGTGAGATACGGCCCCAAGTCTCCACGTGTCATTGCACAGGACTGAAAGCTCCTCAAGTCGAGGCGTGCGAGTCTGGCTGGACGCTTCAGACTCACTTAGTTCCTTTTGATTGAACTGGCCCTTTTGATAGAGCAAGCCAAGCTTGACGACGACCTTGATCAGATCCTGATGGGGATGAGCATATCAGAGGGTAAGTCGAGTTGACCAAGGAACAGACTTGACGACAAATCAAAGGAGGCAACAAGACACAAAGTGACGGACAGGACAGTCCTGGATGCATGACAAACCTTCAGCACTTTTTTGGCGGCCTTTTTGTCGCCCAGCTCGCGCAAAGCCAGATCATAGAGACAGTCGAGAAGCTCACCTACAAAAGAGACGTAAGGGCGTGCATTCCGTTTTAATACACCACTCACGCAGGCGCCTTGCTCATCAAGGACCCCGGTCTCGGCCAACATACCAGAGTTGTCGTCAATGTAGTTTTTGATCGAGCCCTTGGATTTCACGGTCATTCCCAGAAACTTTTTCTGAATGCGAAGTGCCAGCGACTTGGAGGCGCCCTTGACGGGCTACTCAGAAACAAACATTCCGAGTATCAGGCACATGAGCCAACGGGCCCCTGGGCCTCGGGAGAAGCAGCAGCTACCGTGGGCGATGACACACCTCATCGGCCATTTCTTCGTCGGACGACACTGCTCAAATCCCAGCCCATCCGAATGATATCATGAGAAGAAGCGTTTGAGGCCTCTGGCCAGCGCGCACACAAACACGTAGACATCCATAGGGCGCGATGCAAAGAAACGTACTCTCGGTAGTCTTCAAAGAGCGTGTGTGTCGTTTGGGCAGAGGGAGATCCTGCTCACTCTACCTATGCATGCGAGGCGGCCAGGGGAGGGCGGATGTGAGGCGGTCCAAAAAGATAGAGCCAATAAACAAGGTCCATCGCTCCACTTCTTCAAACGCGCCCTTGCATGTCCTCCTCCCCGCTCGTCGCCAACAGCGCGCGTCACCATCATCAAGGACAAGCAGACAACGACCCGCTGCCTTTTTTTTTTTTTTTTTTTTTTTTTTTTTTTTTTTTTTTTTTTTTTTTTTTTTTTTGTCGAGTGCCTGACCAACCTTCAAAAGAAAACTGTAATAAAGATCACACTACCAAGGCCGATCAAATTCATCTGACAATTCCTCTATCCATGATCTATTTTTAGTCTCAAAGATGAAAGCGTGATGCTTGTCAGACCTTTTCGTGCCCGCTCCGACGTCCTCTGAGGGCCGGGGAGTATCAGCTGGTAGCGGTGGAGGTATGCCGGAAGAAAGGGCAGCGGCCGTCCGCCCCGTCGCCGGCAATGCGAGTCATGGGCTATTGTCTGCACGACCCAGTCGTGTCAGGCAGCGTGGCGATGGCAGAACCAAGTCATGAAAGGCTTTTGCAGCGTCCGTTACCGAAAAGAGAGCTTTAGTAAGTCGATTTGCTCCAAGTTTTAAAGCGGCACAGATCGCGATGACACACACTTTTACACTTGAACGAAACTTCCCCTCCTTTTTTTTTTTTTTTTTTTTTTTTTTTTGGCCGGGTGTTTCTGTGGGTTTGCATCAGCATCACGAGGCACAGCACGTCGGAGCCAGGCTGGTTGCTTGCACGGGTGGTGGTCGGCGTGTTCGGGCAGCCATTTTCTTAATTTGCAAACAACCCCGGAAGCGGCGATCGCGCGCAAGGGCCTGACAGAGCACGACAACCTCATCAGGCGACTACCTGCCCTTGGTGAGTACACAGCATGGCACGCCCGTTTGCATCAGCTGCCAGCAGCCCTGACCCACCTCACCACATTGTCTTACCTGTACGGGCCCTGCAGTCTACCCTCTTGTGAACCACTTGACTACGCTCAATCAAGATGGACATGGACGATGACATGGGCATGCCCTCAAATGGGTTCTGCTCTGGCTCGGGCATGGTCATGAACGATGGCTTTGGGCGGGCCCCGTCATTCTGCCCCATCTTTCTCTTTCACAACGTCGTCATTGATACCGCGGGCAAATATGCGATTGCTCTCATTGGCACATTTTGCATGGGCCTCTTCAATGAGCTCTTTCGGTGGTACCGTAACCGTCTCGAAGCACAAGAGAGCACTCGCCCCATTCTGCAAGATCTGTGTGTCGCCCTGTCATACGGCATCCACATGCTCAACGCCTACTTTCTCATGCTGCTCGTCATGCTCTATGAGAGCCTTTTCTTCGTCATGATCATCCTCGGCCTGGCCACGGGCTCTTTCGTTGTTCGTCAACTCCAGCGACATGTGCGCAAAGTCGGCGCATACCAAGATCTTGATGGGCGCAAGCCTTCGGCCCTAACGCCTATTGTCCAAACGCCCAGTGGCACCTCCCCGTGCTGTGGGGGCAATTAGGCACCCAAGCGTCATATCAAGGATGACCAAGGCCTTGTTCAAGCATCCTTTGGCTCGCGAGTGTGCCAGCATTTGCTTCTCGTACATTTTCGTCTCGTTGGCCAGAAGAACGATGCAGCTCCATCCGACGCAAGTGTTTGGATGACTCCTCGGTATGGGCTGGGCACGCACTCGGTCCTCGTCCTGGCTTTGCCCCAACCCATCACAAAAGGCGGCCGTGATTTCGTTTGCTCTTGAGTTTAGATTATTGTTTCTTCGTCTTTGCCCAGGGATTGCCTAGCGCTGCAGATCGGGCCGTGGTGTTGTCGCTGTTGGCACTTGCACATGATTAGACTGCGCCTTCTTATTTTCCGTCCTCTTTCCGCTCTGCATTTATTTCTCATCCATTGTGCCCCGTCATGTTCACACTCACTGCCTCATGGCTCTAGTCGTTTGCCTCAACCTGGACGCCAGTTGTAATTCCTTCATCAATCAATCAATCAATCAATCAATCAATTCTACAATCAACAGATTTAGCATCAAAAGGAAAAGAAAGGAAACGTGCAAAACAACAAGAGGGGGCGGGGGCTCGTTTATGCCAAGACAGCAGGCGGTGGCGGAAGTTGCACAGCCACAGACAAATACACCATTGAAGAACAAAAACGGACGTTCCTTAGGATTGGTTTTTATTGTTTTTTTCCAGGAACAGAGGAATCAGGTAGCAGCACGAGCAAGAACAGGCTGGTGCCACATCGTGAACAGTTAAAAGAGAGAGGGGGAGCAGTAGAAGGCAGATACGACAATAACATAAGAAAAAATCATGGATGGCCGATGGCAAGCATCAAGGGCCGGCTATTCAACAAGGGAAAGGTGTTTGTTCCAGTTAGTTGGCCACCTCGAGGGCCTCGAGATGGGTAAAATCAGTCTCGAGAAAGTTGGTCAAGTTCATCATGGAGGATAGGCGTCGACCCAAGGGAGGGATCTTGCCGGGGGGCAGCACGGGTTGGACGCGCTCCTTGTCCAGACTAATAAAGGAGCCACGGTTGGAGTTTTCCTTGGTCGTGTCAGATTCAGGGTCCTGAATGGACTGGTCAACGATGCTGAGATTCTCGAGGTCCACATCAAAAGCATCAGCAACATTAAGCAAGGAGGACAGTCGACGAGACAGGCGATGTTCATGCACGGCCGGTGCCTTGTCCGACGATTCAGCGTCCTCCTCCGCGGCTGACGCCTCGTTGGCGTTTTCGTTCTCCTCGCTGTCGTGCACGCCATCGCAAGGCTCATACTCGGCCAACGGGTCCTCATCAATCAAAGCATCTTCATCCTCGTCGCTCTCCTCGCTTTCGTTAAGGGTGTCCTTGAGCACCGGCTGTGCTTGCGCCTCCTCGCTGCTCTCGACAGCTTCTTTCAGCTCGGGCATCTCAGCAGAACTGCTGAGAGTTGGTGAGGTGGCTTCGAATTCAAGAGAAACGGTGGAGAGCGTGCTGGCCTCCCTTTGCAGAATGGGAGCGTCGGTCAACGCCCCATGTGTCGCCGTGACGCCTTGTTCAGGTTCATCGGAAACTTCATCGTCTTCCTCGTCCGCCGATGAGTTGTCATCGTCCTCCGCCTCGACCGACGACACGGTGCGAGAGCGAGGTTTCACGTCCTCCGGCTTGGCAACTTGCGCATCAAGATCCGAGGCACCAGTAGAGATTGGGCTTGCAACGTGCTCATCCACAGTGGTCACCTTCGCCTCCTGGACGGATTCACCGGGCCTCTCGGCCTGCACGGCTTGTGCATCCGCGCCTTGGCCCACAAGGCTGCCATTAAAAACATACTTGGGTCGGCAGATAGTCACTGGGGCCGGTGTGGTGGAGGTGGCCGAAATCTTCTCAAACAGAGCGCGAATGCCTCGCACAGATTGATTGGCTGTGACTGCGGTCTTTGGCGGCACCACGTCGCACTTGACAGCACCAGAAGCGGAGACTCCCGATGCCCTGGGCGTCGCTCGGACCGGGGCTTCGGGCTTGGATCCCTGCGGCTCTTGAGCCGGCGACGGGACTGCCGCCGTCACTGCAAAGGCTCGGGCCACCTCAGCCACCTTGGCCGTTGACGAACGGCGTCGGGATGCCGCCTCTCGGGCCTGAGGCGCCGTACCCTCAGTTTGAGTCGTCAAAAAGCGAGCCGCAATAGCGGCGACGCCGCCTCGCTTGGCCATTGACTCGGACTCGCGCAAAGCCTTGTCGGATACGGTCGGGGGTGCCGGGGTGGTATTGCCTCCAACGACCGAGTTGACGGGTGGTTGCCCATGAAACGCCTTCATTCGTTCAGCCAGGGCCGGCGCAGCCTTGGGGGCACTCACGGCCTTCTCGGAAGAGGCCGGTCGGGCAGGCACCCTGAAGCCACGGCAAGGATGAGTTGAGTGCGCCAGTACAAAGCATTAAAAAAATACATATCCGCATATACAATTGCAAATGACCGGATGCATGGCCCAATAGAGCACGCCCTCATCAAAACTTACGATGAAGCCTTGGTAGTGACGGTGTATGAGCTTGGCTTGTCGGAGGCATGTGCACCAAAGTTGTAGTTTCCCTGCGCCAAAACAAAGGTTAGACTGATTGGCCCTTGGCATTTGGAGGTACTGGAGCTGGCGACGAGGCAGCTCCTGAAAAAAAACAACAAGCACACAGATGCCCTGCAACTCACCTTTGCCTTGAACATTTGCTTAAAGTGCGGCTTGCAATAGAGAACTCCGCTCATGGCTGCATAAGTGCCCGCAGAAAGGCTCTTCTTGCACACTGAGCATTTGAAGCAGGTTTTATGGTACACCTGTGTGATATGGGACAAGGCGATTCGTGAGTGTGCTTGCGATAAGCACACGTCTGGGCCCAAAGTGGACTACAGCTGTACGCACCTTTTCATCGGCTTCAAGTTTTTCCATGTAGTACACGGGCTTGCTGCACACTTGACAGCCGGCCGCCTTGGGCGGTTGCCAGCCTAGGTCACATCGCGATTGGGCGAGGTGAGAAGGTCATGCGATTGATGTCCAACCGCGTTGGTGAGCGGCAGCGGTCGCAGCTGGTGCCGCAGGGCCCAGAAACACTCACCTTTTTTGGTGACAGTCATGGTGGTGGCGGCGATGGGCACAGTGTGGTCGAGGACAGCGCAAGAGACGATCCCGGCCAACAACGAAGCGATGGCGGGTCAGAGAAAATGGCCGACCCCACCAACCAAGTCTTGGTACCTACCCCAGCGACTGAAAAGCTGCCTCGTTTAAGACAGGGTAGGGCACCTGAGGCAAAGCAAGCCCCAGGCGGGGACGCTCGTGGCCTTTGCTCAGAGAGGCAAGAGCCGCGAGACGCATTGTCCGCTGATCATGCAGAATGAACGCGCCAACAAGAAAACAAAAAAACGCAAGCACATTTCTCCACGACAGACGGATGAACAGGGTGGCGGATAGATGGGCAAGTGGATGGCCACCGCGCGCGCCTTGGTCTCCTGCCTTGGCAGCCATGGCATGTTGAAGCCGCGGCGCGCGCGGCACGAGAGCGGACAGGATCCCTCAACAACCCCGTGCCATGCTGACAATTGAAATGTCAGATCATAATGGTTTATTTAGGAGAGCTGATGTATTCTCCTTCAATTTGTATTCTGGGCCAGCACAAACGAGCGAGAAGGGACCGACGGCAAAAAAAAAAAAAAAAAATACACGACCGCCTATCTACCCTCGAGCAGTATACGTCCCCATGTGCATTGACATACACAGCCACGTTATAATAGAAAAAGAAAGGGCCGGGCCCTCATGTGCCTGTTCCGCTCGGAGCTCCGTGCAAGGGTCTCACCCCGCTGGCCCGGCACCGATTTCAGCTCTCCACAATGGCCACCACCACAGAGATATCATCTTTCTTACCGCCGCTGTAGAACATGTTGAGCTCCTCCGTGGCTTCACGTGCAAAGGGTGAGTCGGCGTTACGATCCAAACTGACATTAAAGGCAGCCGCGGCGAGCCGGTGATGCAGGGTTCGCCGTGAACTGGGCTCTGAACAAATTCGCGCCATGTCTGACGGCAACAAGTTGTCCCACAAGCCGTCGCTGCCCATGACAACAATGTCGTCGGGCTGTAGAGCCAGTGTTTTGACGAGGCCCGCCTCTGGCGTGTCGCCCTGAGCATGGTGGCCCAGCTGGTAGGGACAGCCAAAGCGGTGCTCCAAAACGGGTGTGCGGTACAGTACACCATAGACATCGGCACCGCCAATGGTACCCCGCCGGCGCAAAACGCTCAAGCCGCTATCCCCGAGATTGTAAACGTCGAGGGCGCCGGTGGAGCCATCGAAGCAGGCACTCACCAGGGTGGAGCTACCCTGCACACCGTCAGTCAAGAGCTGTTGATACACGTGCTCCACCATCTCCACCAGGGTCAAGCCGGGCCGGACTCGCTCGGCGAGTGGGGCTTTGGCATAGGCGCTGGCAGCGCTGTCATGTTGGTGTGCAAGTCCAAGGGTTAGCTCCCGAGCCCAAGCGCCAGCATCAATGCCCTCACTATGCCAGGCATGTACACCGTCGGCCAGGAAGAGGCCATGCAAAGGACCAGTTTCGTGACTGATGGCATAAGCGTCCTCTCCAGCATAGCCTTGCATCCGGCCTACTAGACCCTTGCGGCCTTGTTGGACTTTATCCGGATGCGGGTAAGCCACTGAATGTACGATCAGCGACAGGGGCTTCTCCTGGGTCTTGAGACGCACCTCATCGGGTGTGACGGACTGCTGGGGTGTGAGTGTGACAGACAGCGTCGGGTTGCTGGCCTCATGGCGGCCCCCCAGCCACCGATTACATTCAAAGGTAAAAACGCGGCGCAGACGGTTGTCATCGTCCAAAATGCGCAATATCACCGAATTGAGTAACCACCCATCGTCCTTTCCTGGGCGGTCAGGCCCGATGACAAGAGCACGAATGCGCCCGAGATCATCGCAGCGCTCGCGAAAGATTTCGCGCTGTCCCCGCTCAAAAAGGCCAGACTTGGGGTGCAGGCGTCCCTCAAATGAGTTGCGCGAGCCCTCGACCTTGACCAGAGCGTTGCATTCGCAACCAGCAGCACGCGCATCGCTGGTCAAAATGTCAAACTCGAGAATGGGAGAAGCTGCCCGCTGGCCCGCGCGCAGAAAGCGCCATGCGGTCATCCAGCCAGCTGGCCCAACACCAGCACCGTGGAGGCGACTGCGCCCACACAACCCCCACAGCCCAGTGGCCCACATCTTGGAGGCAAATGGACCGAGGGGGACCGTGGGGCAGCTCGCAGCCCAAGGCGGGTAGTGGGGTCGGGTAGCACTATCGTTGGCCGCCGAGTGCCCGAGCCGTCGAACCAGAGCCACTAGCAGGGATAGGAAGCTTTCAGAGGCCACGGGAGAACTGCACCGACGGGCTGGGGGAGTAGATGAATAGACAGAGGCATCCACGGGCAGTGGCGACGTGGGGGAAGGTGGAGACCTCGCAAAAAAACAGACAGGTCACACCTCGCTTGAATCTTGACAGGTCTGACGCCTTTGCGAGGGATCCGCGAGAAGAAACAGCAAAAAAAATGAGAAGATGAAACGAAAGGTTTCCCTCCGGTGATGCCACCAGCTGTTGAAAACCTCTATCGCCTTTGCCGGTGCCGATGCCGTTCACGACAACTTGACACCCAGCACCCAAATAAATGCCTCACAAAAGACAAGGAACAGAAAATCCAAAAAAAAAAAAAAAAAAAAAAAAAAAAAAAGAGAGTGAGATTATCACACAAATTCGCATGATGTGTTACAATTCCACTCCTAGAGATAAACTCCGAGGTAGAGCTCCACCAGCACAGCAGAGCATGAGCGGTCAAGGATTTTCTCAGCCACCCCTCGCTGTGTTTCTCTTGCGTCTCTCTCTCCTCTTTCTGCTTTCATTTCTTCTTTTGCTCCTTCTCTATTCTCTCGTGACTTACTGATCGCGCTGTGCCACTCTGATTGTTATCATGTCGTCATCTCAAACTCAATTAACTCTGGCTCGAGCCAGGGCATCGTCTAGTCACAATCAATCAACCGGCACGCCAGCCGACGCACAGCGTCGGTTCAAACTGAGACACACTTGCTTGATGCGGTCCATGTCGGCACCAACGCTAAAAGTCAAAACAGTGGACACTCCTTCCAGTGCACTTCACTTAAACAAATCAAAACCACCCGTGTTCAGGGCCGGCCGGAGCTTTAAACTGCGCCCATGGTCATAGGCTCAACGGAACGGTTGTCAAGAGGACATTTGGCGCCATACGCCTCCAGCCAAGTTCGAATACAGGCCTCGTGATACACGTGATGACAGGCGGGGAGCGCCACCACGGCGCTACTATCCGTATATGCCTCCATGCAAATGCTACAATCAATCGGCTTTGACGAGGCGTGATCGCTCAAGGCGGCAAAGGAAACAACGACGAGCCCAGCCAACAAGGCTGGGTCTGCCGTTGTCTTGGGCAGCTGCTCGTCCAGTTCTAATAGTAGCTCATAGTCCTCGGGGGTAATGTCTCGATACTGCAGGTCCTGAAGAAGCTTGTCGCGGGCCGTGCGCGCAGCGTTGGCCTGCAGAACGTGGGCTCGCAGAGCTGCGGGAAGGACTGGGGCAACTGGAGGCAATGGCTGATCCCATTCTGGAGTGTTTGCAGTGTTTCGCGGTCGAGAGTGGCATGTCCCTTTGGCCCAGTCTTGTGCTGGCGCTGCTGCCAGCACATCGGGGGCAGCAGCCTGCTTCTGAATGGAGCGAGCATGGCGGCGCTGAAACGTCGCCAAGAATGGCAGTGAGCGAGATGCCGGGACCAAACGACGACGGCGCGCGCGGCGATCCGCACGATCTTCACTCCGGATGGCCTTGGTACGGTGGCTACAATGAGAGAGGGACCAATAAGAATGGCTCGAGTGAGTCTACTGGGTGGTGAGCAAACAACACTTGACAATTTTGGACTGGGCCCCTTGTCACGCACCCTTGACGGCGAACGAAGCCACGACGATGCAGATCCAGATCTCGTTCATACTCCTCAGCGAGAAAGTCGGCGGCGTCCATCAGCTCGTACGTGTACGGCTCACCCGTGCTTCCATCATCATCACTGCAGTCATCCTCATCCACCTGAAGGACTCCGTTTGCAAGCTCTTCCGCCCAGTCAAATCCCACGTTGGCATCAGTGTTGGCATCCGTGTTTTCTCCATATACATCAATCCCCGTTGGCACATCAGGCAGAGCAGGCCCGTATTCATGTTCAAAGCAGAGCCAACGAGCCGCATTCGACAGCCCAGATGGCGACTGCCCCTGGGTTTCTGGGGAGGATGCACTGACCGGCGCCGCTGGACCAGATGCGGTCGCCATGACTTTTGACACACAAGGGCAAGCACAAACTAAAGAGATGGGATGGAACTGGCAAAAGCAGCCACAACACCACCACTGCGCGCCGACCTCCTCCAATGCCTGATGTGGCGGTCAAGAAAATGGAAGACCTGACATCTGAATCTCCGCCCCCCCCCTGTCCCCTTGCGCTTGCCATCATCACCATCAGTCAGTCATAACCACCCCCCACCCCCCCCCCCCAAAAAAAAAAAAAAAA